TTACCTTTTACAACCACTAGGGGTCGGTATAAAAACTTATCCCATCTCAAGAGTTCACCTAAAGTTAACATTAAAGTTGAATGAGTTTAGAAAGTGACAGTAGACATATGTAGTCAGTATTTATCTGTAGGAAGAAGAAATAAATTACCAAACAGTATGCAAATGTGAAAAACCCTATATTCTGAAATCCAAACTAGTCCAAAAACCAATGACATACTTGTTTTTTTGGGGGGAAGTTGTTTAGTTGTAATAACAATACATGCCAGAGAAAGGCTGGAAGCATGAAACAGTGAAATTCAAACTTCTACACACATTAAGAGTAAAAGTCTTACTTCTGAAGTAAAGTGATCCCTGTACGGTCATGTTTAAGAATATATTGCTTTAAAGGCACCTTCGTAAACTGATTCATGTAGTCACAGAGACATAAAATTGATCAATTAAGAACTATAAACTTAATTCTGCTCACATTCAAACAGGCTTTGCCTAAGTAGAAGACACTCAGGCTAAGGTTACAAGAAAAAAGACGTGATGCAGTTTTCAGGAAGCTACATAAAGCAAAATTTAAGGTACATAGTTCTCAGTATCTATACAAGTCAATCTGAGCTATTGTATTACTATTTTTCACTCTCTTGCAACAAACCTCATTCAGAGCACACACAGAGGATATCGCATTACTCTCTGTAATAAGAGGAGCCATTATTAATTTATGAAAGTGGTTCCTCTGCATGAGTAACCTACAAATTCTTTCTTAGATATATGCTTCTTTGTGTTGAGAATACATCAACCAAGATTTTGCACATGTAAAGGCATACAGTTTGCTCAGCTGTGCTTTTGTCAAAATGCTCCCCAGAGGATCAAAGAAGCTTTTTGTCATATTGTTCATCAGTCTATTCAAATTCATAACTTGCACTAACAATAAACTATTCCTATGAGTGTAGGAGGTGCTAACCTCATTTTCCTTTTTGTCTTCCTCCTTTTTCCGCCTGAAGATAGTATCGACATCAGCGGCTTCTCCGATTACAAGGAACACTGTTACCGCATGATGCTCCAGGTATAAATATGTTCTGTGTCAGACTTTTGACACATTTAGAGCTTCATTCCGAACCCTGAGCATCGGCTGGAAGACAAAATACAATATGGTAACATATATCAACTTTTCATCTATTACACATTATTTCAGTATTGGTATATTTAGTCTGTATGACTAAATAAATTAATATAAAAATAAATAATTCTCAATCTGCAGCGTGAGTGCATTTCCGTCCATGTTGGCCAAGCTGGAGCACAGATTGGTAATGCATGCTGGGAGCTTTACTGTCTGGAGCACGGTATCCAGCCGGATGGACAGATGCCCAGTGATAAGACAATAGGAAGAGGAGACGATTCCTTCAACACATTCTTCAGTGAGACGGCTTCAGGAAAACATGTTCCACGTGCCATCTTTGTTGATCTGGAACCCACCGTGATTGGTATGTGAACATTTTTGGTTTAAAAAGGGTTTAAAACAGCATGTACATGAGAATACCACAATGGTGTCCTTTTAGTAAATTAAGAGGGAAAAAATCTGATTGAAATTGCCTTCTTTGAATGCAGATGAAGTACGGACTGGCACCTACCGCCAGCTCTTTCACCCAGAACAACTCATCACTGGAAAAGAGGACGCTGCCAATAACTATGCCAGGGGACACTACACCATTGGCAAGGAGATCATTGATTCAGTCCTCGATCGTATCCGCAAACTGGTAATAGTTTTCGGTCTGATAAAGCTACTAAAGCTGTAAGAATGGACTGAAATTGGTGTATTGCATTCTTTTTGCTAAGCTCTCTTTCTCCTCTTTTCCAAAAGAGTGATCAGTGCACTGGCCTCCAAGGTTTCCTGGTGTTC